AAATAACTCTAATACTAAAGTAAAATTTCTTAGACAAGTTTTAACAAAGTTGTGCCTTTTGTGGTTTTCATTAAAAATACCTAAATAAATACACCTAACAGATTTACACCGTTTATAAATATATAAAATAAATAAGTCATTTGGCATTATTGATTACGCAAGTTCCTTCATCACATACTAATTTGCTCGTACTTATACAATACGTTCCAAATCAATATTACACTAATCACAGACTAAATAATCGTTCAATTTAATTTCAGATTGTAGAAACTGAATTACGCAAAGAAAACTGCCCTTGTAAATTAAATCGGAACAGTCACTTAAGGAAAAAAACATTTAACTTGGACGCAATAGCATCTATAAAGTGTTATCCAACCCACATTAGCCTCACGTTTTTCCGGAATTTGATCGCTTAAAAACCTAGACGAAACAGTAACTATTGCATGAATCACATTGAAATAAAATAAGGAAATGCTTACCTTTTTAATTGTAATCGGAGGCAAAATAACTTCATTGTTTATGGGCATTTCGTATATCCCATTCGCTGCTAATTTCATACAGTCATCCAGCGTTTTGATAAATGTATCACAAGTTGCGCCTAAAAGCCGTGTAGTTTCATCCATATTCTAAAAATTAAAAAAATGCGTTTAGGTACTTAAATGTAGTTCAAAAGTATCTGGCGATTACCTCAATTTGTGGACCATCAGGAGCTTGGGCTGAATTCTTAATTACATGGACCTGTTGCATCAACAAATCGCAGTAGAGCTTTAATTCGGATTTCTTTGATTTTAATGAATCAGGACTTTTGGCTATAAAAAACAACCATTTTTTTCCTTAAGAAAGACTGGGAATGTTTAGCAGTGAACTTTTGAAAACTAAAATCTAGGAGAACCGAAGTAACAAACGAACAAAATCGAACAATTGCAATCGCTGGAAAACATTCTTATCTGAAAGAAGGACGGAATCCTCTTTATGCAAAATGTTTCTTACTCAAATGTTCCAAAATTCCCTTTTTGTCCTTTTAGCAATACCACATCTTTTAAGTGACTAACTTTGATGCAAAAGTGCATTCTCCAAGAGTAAAATTAATTTGCATTTTTTCGACCAGCGACGGTTTTATGTTTTTAACCAAAACCAAAAAATCTCAGAGAAAAACGCAAGAGAGCTTTAAGCTTCCAAATTAAATGGAGAAGTCAAAAAAAATCATCAAAAAAGTTATTGCTGGTACTTGCGTTTTATAGTTTTTTGTATGTTTTGCCTTGTGGACAAAAAAACTCAAATCAAGCAACATTTTCTTAAAATACACTCACTGTTTTCCTTTCCTCGCCTACTATGGACACACGCTTTGGCTGTTCCAAGAGCTACCAGCCACTGTTGTCTTTCTTGAGAAGTTGCTGCTCTTAAATACATGTGCTGCTCACCTGGTATTACCAGATCCATGCGCGTATGATCTATTGAACTTACTGAAAAAAAAACTGAGCTGGAGACAAAAACGCAAACTTAGAGTTATTTAAAGGACACAATTCGTTAAAATTTCATGTTGCAGTGATAAGAACAATATAGCTCTATTTTCAGTTTAAATGTATCTGCCGCAATAAATTGAAAGCACACAATCTGGTACCAAATCGAAGTCGAATTGCTGGTCAAGGAAGAGAAAATGTTTATGGCACGACTGTTAACAATTAAATAGAAAAAATTATTTACCATTTATTTCGCATGCTTGCACTTTTATGGATCCCTTGCAGCCTTGCTTCACTTCATCCTGGGATTTGTAATAGCTCAATATTCCATTTTCGAGTATAAACCATCGTGTTTGCCAACCTGTATTAATTCTCTTATGTATTGTTACTTTATTATTATTATGATTTTATTCAATACACATAAAATTGCCCAATTGTTGATGGAGGAACAGAAATTCTTGGGTCTCAGAATGTTAGTCAATCGATTTCAATATGTTGTAAATTGACCAACGAAGAAAATATTAAACGTTATTGAATAAATACACAAAAATTAGAAAACAAATTGTAAACTTTCCTGTGAAAAGCTTCCAATGTGGCCACTTACCATTCCAATAATTTGTCCATTTCCAAAGAATCCCTTCCATATTGACAGTCAGCAATCGAACGTTCTAATATCGCAAAAAAACCTAACCGAAACACTACCTGTTATTAACGAAAGTTGCAACAATTTACTTGCGAGTATTTGTTATTGTTTATTTGAAATAAAACTTCTTCTTCTTAAAACTTTTAAATTAATGACGTCTTCCCAATATTGGCACAAGTCTTATAATGCATCGATGCCAGCGTTGGTTTTTAAACAATCCATAAAAGGGCGTGGTTTTAGGCCACAATTAATTCAGCATTTACGCCTGCTTTTCTTCATTTGTATGAAAATATCAAAACCGAAAATTTGCAAGGTTTAATCCCTCTACGAGTTGCTTTTTTAACTAGGAATAGAAAAAAAAATTAACACAAAGTCCCCAAAACATCCTCTATGCAGAAAAAGACACAATTAACCACGAATTTCATCATGTTAAAAGATATTTTTGTTATTGAGTAGCTAAAGCTAGTAGCAATTATAATTGCGTTTTGCTTTTAGACTATTAACAATTAATTGTTCTGGATAAATTTCACAACGCATCTTAAATTGTTGTTGCGCACCTTCAACTTAAATGATTGACCCATTTGTTAATCAAGGCGGGAAAGCCACTCCTGCTGTTCATTACAGCCGCACTCACTCTTAAAAATAGAATTTTATTATTCATTTCCGACATTGTCTGTTCAAAGAACGAATGTTTATTTTCAGCTACGAAAATCTCTTTGGTTTCCATTGCTAAGGACGATTTTCAGGTCAAAATATTCCGCAAAAACTTTATAGATTTGTATACTTATGTGCGCAAAATGCGCGCAGTATTAAATTGGTGCCGATCAGTGACGTTTAATGCTAAGGCTAAATTTAATTATATTTAGCTTTTCGATTTTAGTGTTATTTTCCGTGCCAACGAAAAAATAAACGTTCGTAATCATATATGCGAGAAAATCGGAAAAATCATGAATTTTGTTACCAGTGTTTTCAAGAAATACATCAATAAGGTAGTATATAATTGCCAGATTAACTTTTGCTGGTTCACAATTGCTTTGTGCGCTTTTAAGCACAGGAAAACCGCGTATCATTATGGGTGGCCAGCACTTTCCATATAATAAAATTTGTCAAATTCAGTCTAAACTTCTTTATTTCAGAATGAAATCAAGCAGCAGGATAACGAAAGGCCTGCAAATAATGCAGGTAATCAAAATGTTTTTTTCTCTGTGAATAAATTTAAAAACCGAGCAACTTTTTAACAGATCAACTCAAACCATCGAAAAAAAGTGATGCGGAAAAACATCCTCCAGTTACATCAAATAGGTAATAAAATAAGCAAATTTACTTAATAATCTAGTTAAGCCTGAGTCTATGCTTTTATTAGATATAAATATTTATTTTTCGTTGAAATGGTATCAGCTAGATTGATGTTCAACTATTAACAAAACATGTCTTTCACTTGGTAAGGCAGACATTTTCTAGACTTTTTCAACACAGAAACAGAAACAAAAATTTTGCACATGAATTAATCAACAATTTTTAGCGCAACAACTGGCCAAATTATCGATACAAAACCAACTGAAGAAGATGAAACGTTTCAGGACGCTGTAACAGGCTCAGATTCTATAATAAACACCAGGGAAACTAGAAAAAATGAACAAACATTCCTTGCAAGTACGCAAATCTCAGGTGAGTAATACTGTTAATTTTTAAGACTTACATAAATTAAATCCTCATCCTTCATACCGCATGTTTAATAATAACACTGCCCCACAATCATTACTAGAAAGCGATAAAACTCAAGTGCGTTATTTTGATAAGGGATTTATCAATTGTACAACAATTCAATAAACTCATATTGTTTACGAATGAAAAATTAGCATTTAGTAATTGCATATGAATTTTGCGCGAAAATTCAACAAAATGTGAGTATTTTTCTCCTCTTCAACTCCATCTTTCAAAGAAGTTAAAACAATTAGATTCATTTATTTCCCTTTCAGGCCAGTTATCAACTCAACCTAGCGTAAATCAGTCCTTCACAACGAAAACCCCACAAACTCCGCCATCCAGAGAAAAACAGATAATCAAAATGCAGGATTCGGAAACTGAAATATCCCAACAGGAGCTGAAGATCCAGCAAAGAGATTCGATCACTTTCAATATCACAGAAGCCGATTCCTTGAACACCAGCATGGTGGATAGCTTAGAAGCTCCCAATGCAGATGGTTTGCTTCCAAACCACGAGCTTAGTGATAGTCTGGAAGTTCTGGAATTTGAAAGCAGCAGAGAGTCTTCAACTGAACCGGCTACATTTAATGCGGAAGATTCAAACGACTACGTTTCGTTAAGTTATATTCTTGACGACTCTATAGAGAACTCATCATCAGGTAACACAATTCTAGAAAGTTCACTGAATGTGAAAAGAAGCCCATTAGAAATGAGTGGAATTTCGCTCCCGAAGCGCAACCATTCAGAAGAGCTCACAACCAGCAAATCGGAAGGAGCGCTAGAAAATCTCATCCGAAGCGTGAATGAAACTTTGGTTCTCGCTGAAAATGCCCATCAAACGAATATTGAAGATCCAAAACAGTTCAACATCGTGGAAAACTTGGATGAATTGGAACCAAAAAATGCACTCGAAAACATTGAAGAAAACGAGACTGTCCATGGACTTGAGCCAAAGGAAAACATTCCAATTAAAAGCGACACGCTAATAAAAAACGATGCAGAACAAAATAGTGTTGAAAGTGAATTAAAAACATTGACCAAAGAAGCATCAGAAATTGAACCAAAGCCGTACACCAAAAACATAAAAAACCGAAACGATTCGGATGAATGCCCGAATGCTACGAATATTAATGTCGAAGATGCAGATATGCATAAAAGTCTGGAAGGTGTAAGAGTTGTAGATCCAAAATGTCTTCCTCAACCAGGAAGTTTGGAAAGTTCAACCAATGTGGAAAAAGCGAAGCCCAAAGAAAAAACTCCCGAACAGGAAGATGCGGTTCTTTCATTAGAAGAGAAACGGGAAACCGTCGAAGCAGAAACACCGGAACAAATGAGTAAGGAGGAGCAAATCAGAATTTACGAGAGACAAGAAACGCAAGAACTCGACCACATTATAAAAAAACTAGAGGAGACTACTGTTACCAAAAGTGCAGCAAATGAAGAAAACCGCGTTTCGCTCGACCGACAAGATACCCAAGAATTTGAGAAACTGGAAAGAAATTTTGAAGAAAACCACGTTTTATTTCACAGACAAGATACCCAGGAATTTGAAAATCTTGAGAGAAAGTTTGAAGGAATTGCTGAAAGCAACTCTTCTAACACTACAGACGATATCCTTGATATCCTGGTTGCAAGGAGTCAACATTCTCATGATGAAAATGGGAAACCATCTGATGAACTACACCGTTCTGATAAACCGGAAATTGTGGATCTTAACAACCAGTTGGCGGAGGTCAATAAAAACCATGAAAAAGCCAAAGTCAATATTGAGTATCAAAGGCAGGATACGAAAGAATTTGAAAACTTCGAACGGCAATATGCGAATGACGTTTTAGATCAATTAGTTTCAGAAAATAATGAAGACATCAGTGCAAATAAAGAGCTGAATAAAACCTCTGAAAGTAGCCATCGTTCCGATTTCCTGTTAAGCATGATTGAATCTACAAATATTGATACACCTTCTGAAGAATTCAACCAAAATAAAAGTAATGAAGCTGTTGCAATTGAGGAGGATAATCTGCATTTCTCAGTAGAAAATTGCAGTCAAATACAGTCAATCGCTAATCAGAATGCCGAAAGTATTAAAGAGGGAGGAGATGAAAATGAAGTAGAGATTAATCAGGAAGCTAAATCTTCACTCAATGACCAAATCAGAGAAGCTAAACCAAGAGCTGAAGAAAGGGAAGTGGTTGAAGCTAGTCAAAACGTCGAACAGTCGGAAACTGAAACAGCCGCAAAAAATGAAACAATCCAAAGCAGCAAAAGTGGATTAGAAGCACAAAATAAAAATGCAACTACTGATACAGAGCAGTCAGCAAAAACAGAAGAAAACATAGCAGAAGTAAACGGAAGGGATGAAACTGCATACGGATTGAAAACAGCAACCTATAAAAAGTCCGTAAATAGGAAAAACGCCCAAAGGAAAAAAGCTGCAAAAAAACACTTCGCTAATTCTTCAGCCCCTGATAGCAACGCTGCCCAGCATATAAATGGCAGGGTTGGTAACCAAAATAATTTGGAGGAAAAGCTTGATGCAGAACTAAAGCTGCCTGGTTTGGAGTCGACTGAGGACAAAAGAAATGGGAATAAAAACGAAGCTCTAAATGAAAACGAAAATTCTACAGAAAACAAGAAACTTGTTTCAACGCAAAACCAAAGTGCAGCAAATAATCAAACTAGAAACGGACTTGATTTTGAGCAAGATTCCATCAAACCAGCTAACAATAAAACTACGTTAAAAATTGAGCACAGCAGCAGCACAATTAACAATTACAAGTAATTATACTAAATTAATTTTTTTTCAAGTAAATATTTTAATTTTTTTTAGAAAACTACTCGAGCAATATGAGAAACGAATACTTGAGCAAAGCATCGAACTAGAAAAGCTCAAAACTGAATTAAGCACCAACTTTAGACATTTCAACAATACGGAAATGGCATTTTCCGACCTGTTTGAGTAAGTTGCCACTTTAGCTGTTAATTTTCATATTAAACCGATTTTCTGTTGCAGAAAATACGAAAAAGCAAAATCAGTGATAACGTTGTATAAGCAAAATGAGGATATTCTAGTGGAAAATATTGAAAACGCTGAAGGGCAATTGTCGCAACTGGAATCAAAGTGCGCGGCGATGAAACGACAATCTTTGGAACAAATTAGAAGGTAAGAAGATATAAAACAACGCTTTGCCGTTGATAATTGTTGAATGTTCTTCATCTAGGGCGCAACAAGAGACTGAAGACGAAAAACAAAGATACAGGCGCGATTTATCAAACTTACAAGCTCAGGTGAAAAGATTGGAAATAAAAGCCGCATCACTTGAAATCGAGTTGAACCAAAAAACTGAAGAATGTCAGGCACTAGCTAATCTTTGTGACGAGATTACCGGCAGGCAGTAAAATATGTTTTATTGAAGTAAATAGCTTAATTTATTAGTTCAGGCGCTATTCTTGAGCGGGATACGATGGTGAAGGACTGAAAAAATACGTTAAGTAGGTAGAAAAACATTCGTTTATTTTTATATAGTTGATTGAAATTTTACTTAACTTAGGACGTGTTTAGCATACACACATATGTAATAGAAACATACATAATATAAAATGTAATAAACAATCCACATAATTGGACAGTGGACATAATAAAAAGCGACATTATTACCAAAAGAAATGAGGAACCTCAGGCTGTGTACTTAGATACCAGGTTAATTGTAGACACAACTGTAGGTACACAAAATATATTCGAAGGTTTTTGTTTCATCTTATACGATGTTATTTATTAGAGACTGATTTCGTTCCTAAAGAATACATAATTAAATAATTAAGTCATGTTTGGACGGAATTGTTGCTTAGTAGTCACAATATAAAAAATAACAATTAAGGCACAAAATACATTTTAAAAATTGAATATCACAGAACATTCAGATTAAAAAAGAGAACCCTAAGACTGAATTGCAATTAAATGTGCGGCGCTGTCGCAGTATTTGCACTTTCTGGTAGTATACATTTGGTCTCACAACACCAACTTACTTAAAATATACGACGCGAATGTTATTAGTAATGTGGTTCGGCTGAGAACTGAACCTGCCGACTAAAAAATTGGGAATATTTCAGATGACTGCTCAAAGTGAATACGAAAATATTGAGACTTACTATAATATAATAGTTGCACCTATCGCCTTTGCAGCATTCAGAGCACTTCCAGTCCTCATACCAAATGTGCGTACAACTTCCCATGTTGCTGCTTCTGTATCTTTCACATTTGTCTTTCGTTGCACATCTCTTTGAAATATAATATTGCTTCAAAGCACCTGGAAGTAGTATTAGAAACATCCAGAAAATCTCCAGTAAGTTCATTTGCTAGCTTTAGTGGATACACTTTGAGCTAATAGTGACTATAGTACCGATGTGTTATTAGGGTTGAAAAATGGGCATTTTTTCAGAATGAAGGTTGCCGCCCAGCTTCAAATAAGTTACCTTGCTGCCAATATGGAGTGGAGCCCCATCGAATCTCTGTAAGGCAAACATCTTCCCCATAATTACATGTTTGGATAGTTTTAACACATTTTTCGCTGTTATCTTCTTGGCTGTCGCAAACATAGCACTCTAGAGAAGTCGCTGAAGGAAAATAAATAGTTTCATTATACAAAAAACTAAGTTTTTACAGAAAAAAATACAAATTAGTATCGTATTTTGAGGTTAACTTACCATAATAAACACACTGCCCTAAAATGAGCAGTAAAAGGCAGTTGAGCGGGTTCATTTTGGAAGTTAGTAAGTTTTATGGGTTTTGAGTAAAATGTGTACTCATGCAAAACTAAAACAAGCAGTAAATTTGAAAAAAATTGGAAGTAAACAGTAAACAGTCATGAAGCACAGCTGGGTGTGTCAATAAGCAATGTTGCCGCATCTCTATAAAAAATCAAGTCTTTCCGTCGAACAGGCATAGGTAAACGAAGATAGCCATAGTGTGGGCAAGGACAATTCACATAATAAAAAAGTGGAAGTTATAATTAAATATCGAGTAAATAGTAATGGAAAAATTAAAATAAAAACCGGATTTTGTAACGAAAACATCGAGTAAAGAGTTTCAAGGTAATTTGCTTTAAGGTCTTATTAATGTTTGTTGTTGTATCTTAATTAAGTAAATTGAATTAAGAGAGTTGGAGAAAATTAAGTATTAACATTCACCAGAAGTTGAAGAAGTTCAGCATAACAAGGAATATAGAAAAAAAAACACTACCAAAAAAATAATAACTTTAGCATGTTACATGCGAGACAAATCGAACCTAATCGGGAAAGAAATAATAAAAAAAATTATTAATAAGAAAATACTCAATAAAACATCAGCAGGAAGGATTGTTGCTCGGATTTATAGTCTTTTAAAATTCATCTATCTATTTATATAAGAAAATCCGAAAATGTTCAATGGTTTTTAGTGTGCAAACCAAGAATCAATTCCAATATACAGGGTGAAACATATATAAGGATGTGTTTAACGAGACTACGTGTAATGTTTTTATATCTGCCACTTAACGCAACAATAGCTGAAATATTCAGGTACAATTTCAGAGTGGAAACAGCGCTGACTGTTGCCTTTTGTTCTCAAAAACATGTTTTACCTCTAACTGAAACAGAAGGATTAAAGAACCTTTAAATAATTGATTTTTCAGGCTGACATGTTTTAAGGAAACCGCAATATTTGCTACTGCCTGAAAACTCTCCGGGATATTTTCACCGTATGTCCTGCATACATTTTCCCGTTTCCCGATATTCTGCAAACCCTCGATCCTGCGAATGCTCGGTCCTCAATCCCCCACGTTTAGTGCAAAGCAGGAAATCGGGAAGTATAGATCTGCCTAAAACGCGCTCTCGACTAATTCCATTCAAATCTTATTAAAATGGTCGTCGCAACTTTAGATGAAATTAAAATGTTCGCTGTTGGTATTTTGATAGTGGCATGTTTCAGTTGTAAGTTTTTATTGTTAAATTTCCTCCAATTTATTGCTTTGAGTGTATTTTTATCTGTTCTGGGGAATGCGCTCAAGGAGTGGAGAAATAGATCTGTATAGTGAAAGCGCCTATTCCGTTAATATTGTCCATTAATGTAGGGTGCTTTAAAAATTAATTTAAGGGTTTTTTTTTAATCAGATTAGGTGTTGATTATTTTTCGAATGCAACGATATGTAATTTTTCATTAAATATATTCTTTTCGTGCGTTTCTTACATTAAATTGGAGTAAGATTGGAGAGTTCTTTGTTTTTTAGGCAACAAAACGTCGACTATTCATGTTGGTTTAAAAAAAGTAAAAGCTTTTGTGACTCTGGAAGTTTTTTTAACAAATGCACAGTTTTTCAGAAAAATTGCTGAAAGCGACCAAATCTGTATGACGAAAATTCTTATTGTTTGAACCTCCTGGTGAATGTATCTGAATTCCCAATATACATTTTACCATTTTTCTTGAAAACATGGCCTTTAACAAACAAAATTGAAGACACACAAAACGTACAGATTGATTAGGAAAGTGACTATTCAAAGTTCAAGAGCAAAATACTTTACGAAAACTCGCATTAGATCAAAACGTATCCATTTTATTATTGAAAAATGCGTTCTTGAAATTACGGCAGATTATCAAATAACACCGTGTATAAGAAGAAAAAATGGGGGCAAAAACACATATACAGATAATGTATAAATTAACAATATTTTCTGTTGAGGTACATCCGCAATTTCCAACAATCTCACATGTTACCAGTGCACAAGACACGATTTGCAGAACTGCGATATTCGGGATCTGAAAGCGTGTGGCTCCCCGTTTGACCGATGCGCTATGCACGTCTCGAAGAATGGTAAGATAAATCTTTTATTATTCAACTAAACCCCATTTTTTGCTATTTTCAGCTCAGGAAGGCTTGGTAGTAAAGAGGGAATGTGGATTGGCGCCGTGCTCATTTGACGATGAATTAATGGCTTCAGGTCTCGGGATGCAGTGCAACCCAAATAGCGACTCATATAGCTGCACTTATTGCTGCAAGGAAAGTGGATGCAACAAAAGCGCATCTCGAGCAAATAACATATCGACGTTTCTGTTGATTTTTTGCCTTGTTCTAGTTTGCCTTTTAAATGTTGCCAGGGACTTTGTCTCTCCGTATGTTCCCGGGGAAAAGATCGATTTTAAGTTATAAATGTAAACTGTTAAAGCCAAATGTTGTTTCATTCTATTAGGGACAAACTTGGGGTGACTGAAAAATCCCTCTAAATCCTATTTTTATTTCATTACACTTTACATACCGAAAATTACATAATTTGCGAGTGTATGTTGAGAGGGTGTACTTGAAATTAATTTAAACTTGGACAAACTATATTTTTGCGCAATTTTCAATGGCGACTCACTGGACCAGAATCATATAGATGCCATTGTCGACTAGCTTGCGTTTAAAAACGAATTTAAGTAAGTTTTATTCAATTATGTGGCTCTAGAGCTGCGAATGTTTCATCAGATCAGCATTTCAAGAACGCCCTGCTCATCGATTTTTGGATATATCCACACATTTGCCTCTTCCAATCGAAAGCAAAATACCTATGGATTAATACGTGTACAGTCAGTACAAGCCAAGAAAATCACTAATGTGGAATAGCGAACTTATTTTAGAATAATGTCATGCAGTTTTGTAAAGGAGGCGGATATTCAGCGCCCTGGCCGGACGCTTGAATTTGTTGCGAAGATTGAACGGCAGCCATTGCCATCGAAACAGGGGTGGTTGAGGGATGATATGGTACCTAAAAGTACATATTATTACATGTATATCGACGCCCAGAGCTGCTAGAATAATTCATTTAGTTTGCTCTTGCTAGCCAACGATACGAAGCAGGGGATTCTTTTGAAAAAAAAAACACTTTTTCGGACATAATTAACATTTTTAAACCGCCCCGATGCTCTACAAATTCAACCAAAATGCTTTAGATACCCACATTTACAGTTACGTGCAAAAATTATCACGGCAAATCAGATGTCGAGAGTCGTCGGAAAAAAATGAGTCCAGTTCCAAAAAATTATCCCAAGATTCACCGAGAGACACTTCACGATAAACATGTTTTTCCTTCTTCTGGACCTTCCTCATCATGCGATGCGATTCGAACGCGATTTTTTTGTTTAGTTTTTTTCAATTTGCGTTTTAATTTTTTGTACATGGGAAGAAAACTCTAATAAGATAAATTGGAATTAGAAATAATTTTTTTAACCCCGCGCGTTTTGTTATAAAACCTTTTTGAATATAATTTACATATGCAGTGACACAGTTCTCTTCCATACAGCACATGTCGCGAATTAGATTTTACAATATTTCAAAATTCAAGCGAAAAACGGAAATATTGCATGAAATAAATCGACGCTTCAAGGCGTCAACAAATGTTCTCTATTCGGTAAGTTTCAAGCTATTGAGGATTGGAGATTTACAAACAGAACTTAAATTCTTCCAAGCAGCCAATAATTTGATTTTTTGGATGAAACTTCCGGAAAATGTATCTATAGCTCGCACTTTTCACACAAAAATTCAAGCGTTTAGTCACAATCAAAGAGAAGCTAAAATAATTTTGAAACTTTTGCACTTTCGTTGTTTTTAATTGGCGCCTGTTCCTTCTTCCCTAGCTCTTCTACAACTGTGCCGTGTCCAATTTGTAAGCTTTTATCACAAAAATGTTTATTTGAATATAAAAATCATACCGTAGTATTATGATGAAATCTGGGATCTAGCATCATTGCAGCTGCAACAGCAGCGGCTGTAGATGTAGCTGTAGAATGATTTGATCTAGACAGCATCACGTGGCCGTTGTTGTGGCTGCCATTTGATGCAGCTGATCTTTGCGAATGACTAGCAACCGCTGCGGCTGCTGAAGTGGCCAGCAGCTGATTGTGAATGTTGTGGGCATGGGTATGGGCGTGATGAAACTCTGCAGCATGATCGGCGAAATGATGGGGATAAGCTGCAGCATTGATAGCTGAAAAGTAGCGAAAATTATTTCGTTGGTTGAGAATTAATAGAGTATAAAATAGTTTATTTTTTGCCATCAGGTGCACTTGACTCAAAAGTGCCACCGATGGCATAATATGTAGCTGTTGAAAAATCTAAGTAGCGGCCAGATTTTAGTAAAACTCCCTGATTTATTTAAGGTGGGTCGAGATAGGTCGCAAGCCCTTTACCGCGTATAAATCGCGTTCTGAGATGGAAAATATACTTAGTGTGGCCCTTATGGCAAATGCGGTGGTTTATCCTTTCTGATCACTGCAAGTTTTTAATTCGGAATGCATTTTTATTTTTCATTGTGTGTGTTGAAGTGTAGTGTAAACTTTTTGAGCTTTCATGAGCAGAAAATGGTAAAAAAAGAAAACTGGTGATTTCTAATCTATAAATCCCTTATCTTGAACTGATTTCAGTTTTTCAGCTTTAATGCATTCTTCAGATTTCTAATTTCCAAGAACAACACATTGGACAAATTTCCTGCTGTACTAACGACATTTTCTTCTTTGTTTCCAGATGGGCCAATGCTTTCGGTAAGTTTGTTTTCAAGAAGTATAATGTGCGAGTTTTCATTGCGAATGGCACGTAAATATGCATCAGATCACCATTCTATTCGCTAGACTCGTCATTCCATACCTTAAGACACTTTAGTCTACATTCTGGTCCATTTTCACCATTGAAACCTTTTGAAGAAATAAAGGGCAATTGATTCTTACCTGCCGTGGGCGTAGTATGATTCTGATGGTGCATAATTAGCTCCTGAATTTCTGGACCGGCAATTGATTGACTCACATTGCTCGCATTAGTTGCTGTGCTACTGCTTTGAGTAAAATTGACCGAGTTGCTAAGGTTTGTTGTGTTGGCCGAAGTTGAGACTGGAGAGTTATCCTGATTGTTCTAAAAAAGCCAAAAAGCACATTAAGTTCAAGCCGTCTAATACAATGCGTTTCGAAATTTACCTGGGACTTGGACCTCCCAGAAGAAGTTGACGATGAAGCAGTTCCATTTCTCAAGGGCCTCGCTTTGTAAGGGACCTAAGAATGTACATTCACCGACAAAGTTGAACTATACTTCTCGATAAACAATACCTTAGCTGAGGCATTCTCCCCATGGTGTCTAGTGAAGTGCTCCTTTAGCTTATCTCTTCTCGAACTGGCATAATCGCAGCTCGAACACTTAAAAGGCTTTTCCTCCAAATGTATCCTAAAAAAACATGATCTGGTGTAGCAAATTGAGCAACATTGGCAATATATATCACCTCTCATGTCGTACAAGGTGAGACTTCTCCATAAATCCTCGTCCACATACTGAGCAGGCATGCGGCCGAGCCCCTCCAACATTCGTACCTCCATTATGCGTTTTGGAGTGGATTGCCAACTGATTCTTCTTTGATGAAGTGTATTTACAGTGCGGATATGAACACCGGAACACTTCACCTGAATGGATTCGTTTGTGCGCCACCATATGGCTAAGAAATTTGGTATGGAATCCGCACGAATCACAAGTCAAATTCTTTTCATTTGAGTGCGTGAGAAGATGCGCTTCCAGGTTCTGTTTGTATCTGAAGGATTTGAAGCAATGCTCACATTTGTAGGTTTTTTCTGGAGTGTGGATTTTCATGTGGGAGACATAGTTGTGCTTTTGGCGGCACTAAAATTAAAACAGATTAAAACGCTGCATTTTAATAGGCTGGTTTGCGCAAACCTTAAAGGAACAGAAGGTGCACTGATAGATGGATTCATCTAAATGTTGAGCTCTATGGGTAATCAGTTTTGAAATTTGATCCGTATTGTACTCGCCTAAAAAAGGAAATAATGAAAAACATTCACGGAATTACAGGAAATTAATGCTCACAATAGTCGCATTTGAATGGTGGTCCGTTAAAGTGCGTTTTCATGTGGTTCAAATAATCCCCATGATACTGGCAAACAAACGAACAAATCCCGCATTTGTAAGTTACATCCTTTGCGTGACTTAATGCGAGATGTTGCTCCAGCAGTAAACTATCATTGATGGTGGCAAAACATATCGGGCATTTGATGCCCACTTTTTCATCGTTGTCTTCATTGCCTAAAAGTTCTTTCGTCTTCAATGTGTTAAATTGGTGTATAATTGGAGAAAAACCTTCAGTCTCTTCCTTCTCATTTTCGCTAAGAGAAATTCGTTGTTTTCTGCAAGTGAGCATTTTCAGGGCCGCCATCCTCAAGCTCGGTTTTAAACCAAACAGCATCAACTTTTTCAAAATCAGTCTTTTTTGGTCTCTTAATTTAGCTTTCACTTTCACTGAGTTCAACACATTCTGAGACGAATTATTATCCATCCGTTCAGTAATCACTATTTTCTCTGGTCGAATGTTTTCTTGGTCCTGACTTTTCGAGTCACTAAGTATCAACTAAATTGCAACAAAATATTAAGAAAAACGACATTTTGGAAAACCGGTCTACTCACTTGTCCGTATTTTGCTTGCAACACTTCGTATCGCGTTTTAAAGCTGGATAACGTCCAACTATTCTGCGCTAAATAATCTAAAAACCTGAACAAACAAATCTCACTTTTGCTATACAGAATACTCGTGTCTAGATGCTTGAAAACCTCAGCCGGTTCTAGATTGTTAGTATAGAAACATCTAACGAGCTTATCAAAGTATTTTTCTCTCCTATCTAGGTCCAACAGGACCCATTTTGAGAGAACTGTTAGGGCTTTCTGGGTTGTTAGAATAAAGTTCTAAAATATTAATTAGCTTGGTTAGTAAGCGGAATGATGAAAAATATACTTAGTCAGGAAATATACAGGGTGGTTTGGGGTGGTTCTATTCGGAAAATGCTTTTCTATCGATAGTGTTGAAGTTTTAATTAAAAGAACATTTAATAGCATTGGGAAATAGACATATTCTTTCAGTGATTATCTGGAAATTAGTCATTTTTTAAGTTTCTGCTCAAATTGGAAAGGAACAAAATTGTTGACTAGAAGAATTAAAATGTTATTAATTGTTTATTTACGAAACAAAGTTCCGAACGCCTGAAGCAATATTAGACTGAAATTTCACAGTAAAAATTACTGGCGTACAATTGTCTAATTTTTTCGCTTCTCGTTTTCACAAAACTTCCATTGTTGTTAATTGCCTAAGCATATAAAATCATTAAAATTATTCAACCGATTTCCACTATTTTAATAAATTCATTTTTTTCGAATAAAAGTTCAACACGCTGCAGTTCACAAACAAATGGCTTCTGAAATATTTTTATAATTAGAAGAAAATTCAAATCTACTTGTAATAGATCGTCTAGAAATACAAATAATGTTTGCGTATTAAAGAGAGTGAAAGTAGAGAAAAACATCTAAGATGTTAGGCACAAAATAAACGCAATTGGAAAAGTATAATAACCACACCGGGAAAAAGCGGAATAAATAAATAAAAACAAGCATAAATTAACAATAAATTGGCAGATACATATTTATTAGCAGCAGCAATGTGGATCCAAAAAGTTTGGGTGCTAATTCTTAATGTTATCCGTGCACATAAAAATAAAACAAGCATGCCATAAATTACCTTGTTTCTAAAAAAGTCCTGTAGCTCCTTAGAACTGAGCCGGCCAATTTCGTCTCCTTCGCAAATATTATCTATATGACTACCTATCCAATTTTCAACAATATTTCCTAAATGCTTCAGCTTGAACCTCTGAGTTAAAAAATAGGTAAACAGACAATTATCTAAGCTTAATTTAGTCCCTAGAAATTCTATACAGTACTCAATTACTTTGGTTAATATAAAATGGTCTGCGAGTTTAAGGAGTTCCTCTACATTGGAGTGTTTTACGGTAATTTCTCCTGTATACATAAAGCTTAAAACATGATTAAATATTTCGCTATCTAAACAGTTTACAGTAAGCTGTTCTTTAACTACTTTATGATGCTTTAAAATGGAATCGAAATAAGGTGAACTACAAGCTAAAACGTTGCGATGGGCCTTCAGAATTTTGTTATTTACATACAGGGTTACATCACAAAATCTGTTCATTCTCTTTTGCTCATAGAGCTTGTGGAACATTGTGGACGACAATTCCGAGCAGTGGAACGTCATTGATCGATTATCTTCCATAATAATCATCTAAAATGGTTCAAAACAAAAACTTAAAAATTCCTCATAAAAAACTAAAGTAATTGTTACACCTTGATGTTTTCAGAACAGATCAATGTAGAGCTGTTAAATGCAAACTAGGAACCTTTCATCCCAAAGCTTTCTAGTCGCATGTTTGGTTGCTACAGTTGATTAAATGTTTCCCATTTTATTGTTTACTGATTTAACCAGGATGTTTAAATAAATAAACAATTCTTTAGATGTCACTGTCAAGATCAGCTGAATTAATCATTGTCAAATTTAAATTCAGAGCGAGCTGAAGGTAGTAAAGATGAACAGGCAACCAGTCAAACCGAATAAATTAGAAAATGCCTCGCATTATTTTACTAATTGAACACCTGCTACAGAATCCAACATTTTTCGAATAAACAAGTACCTGCTAAATATTGTACTTTCAATTTCAGTCTTTTCATTATGAAATGTCAGTAACGTTTTTTTCTGAACTATGAAAATCCAACTCAGTTTTTGCATTACCACAACAAAAAGGGCTGATGATTACCCACATATGAACAAACTATCAAATAGAGGCTGACAATGTGCATTAGCAGCTAGTAAAAGAGCAAATATTACAGATTCAATCATGAGAAATCAGGGAGTAGGTATGCAGCCAGCAATACTTGACACGTAAAACAAACATTTTTTGCTTGATGTTTTGCTTTAATATCATTGTAATCTAATTTAGAATTTTCCTTATAGTTCAACGTTTCTCCACTAACAAACCATGCAAATACGTAATAAACCTGCAGAAAAAAGCCAAGCACTGCAATTAAAACACCAGCATAGTTTGAAATCTTCCAGATAACCTCAAAATGTCAAAGCCACAGGCTATGAATGAACCTTCTTTATGAATGGGAAGCATTTGACCAATAGGAAGAGGGGTGTCCTGAGGAATGCGGTACTACGTGGGATTTCCATAAATACGGGAGTAAAAATTCTTTAAATTTTTGTCAATGTTGAGCCGTTGCGATTTTTTAAATTCTTTTCGTTCTTGTCTGCATATTGAAAAATGAATGTTGTTTGAATGTTGTTGGTTCATTTGAAGGAACTTCATAGACTCTGAGTTGGTGTTTGGGGTGAGTATTGCCACTTTCTAAACGTTTTTGAGTTGTATTTTCTGGTAAACTTTCATTAATTCATTCATTCTCATTAATTGTGTCAGATTAGGTATTTCGAGTATTTTAGTAGGTCAACCGGTTAGCAGACGGTAGCTTGTGGTCCTCAAACCACGTGTTTCTTAATAGCTTTTTTGTGTAAGCTTAAATAATATATCAATCAGGTCTTAAGTAGGTATTTTGGCAGTATACCACCGCTGAGCTTTCTAGCACAGCTTATATATCATATATGA